GTCCCCAAAACGCGAAATGAGCCATATGTATGACATTATTTTCAAAACCTAAATTTTGTTACATATAAAAATACTGCATATGCGTCTGCATTTTTTGATATAATAAAAYATTTTTTACTGAAATTWCTTTGAGAGTAGCATTATTTTGAAAAACATGCGTTTGTTCTGACGGACCCTGTATATGGCAGGTCGTGACGCCTCGTGATCGTAATGATTATAGTCGCATTTTAGTATCCGAAATTATTTTGACAAAATTAACTATTTGTTTATTATTTACATATTAAAATTAATTTGGAATTGAAATGAAATATTTGYTCTTTTTATAATCGTTACTCTTCAACAAAAACCTTTTGAGCTGTATGAGATGAAAACATCTTATATCAGTGGACAACCATTTAAGCACGCCGTAAGAGCATTTTAATCTTTTCGAAATGTTTATAGGAACAATTTTCTATTTTCACATATTTTTAAATGGTCAGTAAAAATGCTTCATTAAGTGAAACAAGTTTCAACACTTTGAAMATTTAACCCTTATAAGTTTCTATAATAGTATTTCAAAAATATGAAAAACACATATACATAGCCACTATTTTTTTTCACAAGCATTTTATGTTCAAATTTAAAAAAAATCCTTCAACAATTTATAAAATATTCAATTTTTATAGTTAAGGGGTTGACCATGTTTTAGACTTTTCATAAGTAACTACAATCATCAAATCTAAAAATTATATGAACAAAGAAAACAATCTCATTAAATATAGTTATTTTAAGTCCAAATTTGAACAAATTTGGATATTTAAATGGAGAATAAAGAAATTATTTTTTTTTGTAATTTAAAAATATTAAACTTGGATACCTACGTGAAACTTTTAAAGTTTCTCAAAATAAATGTTTTTGTAAAAATTAATTCAGTTTACCATTTTATTGATGGTACAATAAATTAATAACTTTAATAACAATACCATAAAATATATTTATATTGTCATTTAGGCAGACAGACAGTCTTCGCTTAAAATAACTTTTCGTATAAAAATGATTTTATATCATTGAATTCAAATTTCACACACCATTACACAGGTCCACCAGCCACTATCCACCCGACGCTTAAGGTATAGGTACAGCAAAGCGGTAGGTACACATCACTTGGTCATAATTTTACTATTATTATTATTATTATCAATAAATTGTAGCTTAATACTATAATCTATGAAATAAATAAAACTTGGTGGAAATACATTGAAATTATTAGTTCTTTTCATTTACGTTCTACCTTTACTATAATTTTAACAAATTCTCTACCTAATTAATACCTAAATACCTAATATATGATGATAATAATCGGATATTTAATACATTTGTTTTTAGACTAAACTAACATTATATGTATTTGATTTACTTTTAAAAGTTATTTTAGATCTCGTCATTATTTATTTTTTAGTCATTAAATATAGATATTAATTATATAGATATAAATATTTGGAGTCAGAAATCTTGTATACCCTGGGTGTAGAGTTGTTATGTATATTATGGCCATAATGCGGGCAAAGGATGGTGTATCAGTTTGGTGGTGGACGTGGTGGTGCCCTAGAATAGATTAATACATTTTTTTTTTTAAATCAACTTATCCTATAACTAATAATAAAATTAATTTCCTAGTATAATATAAATTGAGRAATCGATTTTCGTATGCAATGGTTTATCATTTAATTCAGCTTTTACACTGATACATTACTATAAATCTATATAACCATTGATTATAGAGATATAGAATAAACTTGTTTATTAATAATCTTGTTTATCCTGTAATCAATGCTAAATAACGATAAAGAAGACGAAAATTTCGAAAAAATTCGAACACTCGAAGACGACACCTACTTTATTTATAGCAGAGTGGTTAACTATTTACTTTTGACTCCCCTGAAAAGAAAAAAACTAATTACTGAATCTAATTTCCTTCCGCAGAAACTATTGATCTTCAAAATGGGTAAATTTAAGCAGTTTTTGTCACAAAAGGTGATGAATATATGCACAATATTACACACACATACGGGCTCATCGTCGTATAGTTATTACATTCATTGCTTCACTTAGAATCTAAAATTTACTATTTAGCTAATACTTAAAAGTTGAAATATATACACACCTTACAGTTATCGTACTTCTTATCATTGTGGTCTTTATCTTTCAACAACAATTCACCGCAAACGTCTATCGATCAGTGAACAGATAATATAAAATAATGGTTTCATAATTATTGTAATTCTTYGCTTTTCGATTCCTTAATTTTTTTTTTTCGAAATTTTTCTAAACATATAAATAATAACATAATAAAATAGTTATTATTACCTACCAGTATTTATGTCCAGTTCTTGCATACACGTATACATGTTATCAAACATGTCATTTATGATTTCATTTTGGTTGTTATATTTTTTTGCAACACTTTCCTGAAACACAAGTCGTTTTTAAAAACGTATTATATTATACGTATTTTAATAATATCATGTATTGATGTCGGTTTGATTTTAATTCGGTATTATTAGTCCAGAAAAAGAGTCTGATTGGTTGTACATGTACCGGCTAATTAAAAAGAAAATATTGATACATATAAATGTAGTATTAATGTATATTTATATAGATACAGACAAAATGTCATTCTCGACTTATTAAAAACATAAGACCATATAAGTACTGGATATAGTAGTAATATACATTTAAATATTAAATACTTTTTAAGATTTATTTTTAATTATATTTATTTAATTCGTTGTATTTATTTTTTCGGTCTATTGTATTATATTTACTAGTTGAAAAAAATTTAAAAAAGTATGTTTTCGATGTTTTGATATATTTTATCTGTGAGTTCCTTTATAGTTTTTACAACAGTAACTAATCCGGTCGGCAAAGTAATTTTTTTTCATATTCCGGATATTTTTAATCTCCTATTTTTAAGAGTAACTCTGAAAACTGCTCWGCAGTCCTGTCTCCTTTTAAATGTACTCGCATATTTATGGTCAAAGAAACTTTTTCTATTAGAGGCCACAAATATGAAGACTTGATATAGGCTGCAATTTCATTAGCTYGAGTTCCTCTTGGTACGACTGGAAGAGTTTGTCGAAAATCTTCAGTCAGTAGTACCATGCTCCTCCCATCAATAAATTCGATTTTTTCAGATCTTTCAGACAGTTGTTTAAAGCTTTAAATCCTTTCTTATGAGACATTAGACTTTCATCCCAAACTATGARCTTGTATTTTTTMAGAACTTTCTCCGAATTTRATTGCTWATTAATATTGCACGTTGGGGTCTCGATGGTGTTCAAATTGAGTGGCAACTTGAAAGCAGAATGAGCAGTTTTTCCTCCATGTAAAAGCGTAGCACCGATTTCTGATGATACAGCTGCAATTGCAATCCCATATGAGCTCCTTACTTTAGCCAAAAGTAGATTGATYAAGTGAGTTTTACCGGTTCCACCAGGAGCATCCAAAAATATACATTTTCCTAGATTTAATTTGATGCTATTTAATATTTGTTTGTAAAAAAACCACTAGCTGAGTTCCTCAGTCAATGAGTGTTCATTTTGCTTAACAATCTCGTGTAAAGCAATTAAATTATAGCTTGTGGTCYATAGACATACAGGTCTATCTGTACATCTAGCACGGCAACGCTTCTTACTTTTATTAATTAAATTATCTGTGACACTAACGTTATTACAAATAGACAAATCACTCTCTGAAGTAAAAATTACATTTTCTGTAAWATTAGGAATATTAGAAATAGATAAATAAACATMAAAATTCCCACTATTAATATTTCCGGTTAGACGCAATCTTTTTACTGGGAATGTATTTACACCAAATTTGGCATAAGGATTATTATTATAATAAATTTCAAACACATACGAAAAAATATTGCCAGCTGCAAATATTTCGCAGTAACCACCATAGACAGTAGGATTTTCCCAATCACGAACATAACCCTCAGCAGTGGAAAAGTTGTCACCATATWATGAATTGTGAGACATATTAGCAAAGGTATTCGTATTCCAATTATCAAAGACATACGCARCAATTTTATTTCGGATCTCCTGGTATCTTTCTTGAGTGTTATAGAAATGAAAGGAAATTGAACGGAAAAAGCAGGCACCATCACCAATGATTGGTACAACTATTTGAGATGTCAACATTCTATTCACAATAATTTCTTCAATAGATGGAATTTTTTTTTAAATTAAAGTTAAAAAAATAACTGAATAATAAATAATATCTTATGCCCAAATTAGCTTGTCCAATCCGTTTTGCTGGAGGAATCATATTAAGTTGGGGACTGGCAAGTTTGAGRCTCTCAAATTCAAATAGTTGGTTGTGGTCCCTTGCTTCGTGGTATGTTTAATACTAGGTCATTATATGATCGATTGACAAATTGACACCACWGGGTGGGCATGTGGGAGTGGGGTCTTCTTGGGATATCAAATAACCATGGGTGAGACTCGTGTGACCAATTCGGAGTATGTTAATGATGGTTTTCTATTTTACAGTTTGAGTGGTTATTCGGTCAATGTAGGGTTGTTTGCTTAATTTCATTTAGTTAAGCATTTTGTGTGGACCATAGATTTTGCCAAGATTGAGAGGTGATAAGTTTTATTTTACGTTTTACATTTTGAACGGATATTTTTTTGACATTACCTGAGGGGGCTGTTAATGCTGTTTTTAACTAGCATGTCATCTTTTTCTATATAATTATCATACCTATATTATAATATTATATTGATACTCACAGTTATCACCGAAGTAGCCGTCAAAAGGCAAATCAACAGAACTTTGGTAAACATATTTGTATTGAAATATTTTATTTCACATGAACATATATAATAAGCAAATAAAATTATTCATCAATGAACGCTGAAAAATAATTATTCTCGTTTTATACGCATTGCACCATTTGACCGGAAATACCACACTTTATTCAAACAACATTTTTGATTTTATCGAAAATATCTGATAAGGTAATTTAATATTATCTGAATGTATTTATAACATTTATTTTACTTAATTTATTTACCGGATGTTTTGTACAACATTGTCGTTTAGTTTATTGAAAAAAATGTATAAACCCAAATTACGTAAGTTCTATGTACTTTCATCATCCGCATAATTAATTGAGTTTAAAAAAATGGAATTAATATTCCATTAATAACTAATCGTTTTCTTACTAAAGATATCAATATTCCCATGTGGCCACTCCAAGTTATCAACATGATCAACAATTCCAGACTTAAAATATTTCAAATAAATATAAAATGAATCAAATCTTAACTAACTCCACCAACATCAGTGATCCTGACTTAGTTTCAACGTCTCTCGAAAGCCACTTGAACGACTCATCACACTGGTACTCCAACTAGGACGTCAAAATAAATTAAAACAAATCTGTATACACTATACCTTCGCTCTCCGCCACAGTCAATWTCTTTCAGTACATATAAACGACAAGCTTATCCTAAACTCCGACACAGCCAAATATCTTGGACTAACCTTCGACAAAAGCCTAACATGGGCTAAACACATTCATACGACAAAATTAAAATTAAACCAACGTTTTTTACTCACTCAGGCCTATTATTGGCAAGTCCTCAAAACTATCCCTCAAAAACCAAATTCACATCTATAATCTCCTTCTACAACCCTTCTGGCTGTACAGTGTACAGCTCTGGGGCACTGCCAAAATATCAAATACAAGAAAAATTCAAGTGTTTCAATCAAAAATCCTCAGACTCATAACTAATGCTCCTCCTTAAATCTCAAATCCTACTCTTCACACAGGTCTTCATATTTCTAAACTCACCGAAACAACCAATTTATACTACTCCAAATTTAAAAACCCCCTTCAAAATCAAGCTAACTCCCATGTAAAAAATTTAYTATCAATCTCCATCCCCGGGAACTCTCCCAGAAGACTCAAGCGACAATGGCCCCCTGATCTTATAAACTAAATAAAGAAACATATGAATATCTAAATATCTAAATA